TCCTGGAGGAGGTGGGAATGGGGGGTGGGCTGGGGAGAAGGGGAGGTGGGCAGGAGGGGGGAGAACAAGGGAATCCGTGGCTGATATGTAGAACTGAATGGTATTGTAAAATAAAAGGAAAAAAATAAAAAAGAAAATTGAAAAACAAAACAAAACAACCAGTTTCATGGCTTTAAAATTTTTATAAAAAGCCTCAAACAAGGTAGACAGCAAGGACATACACCCTTGGTTGTCCATAGACTGCCACACTCACAAGAAATTTTGAACACAGGAAGTAAGAACTAATGTTTTAGTTAGCATACAAAATAGTGGGTTTTGGGCGGCAGAGGCAGGCAGGTAGAGCAGCGGAGGCAGAGGCAGGCTGAAGCAGGCCGAGCGGTGGAGGCAGAGGCAGGCAGGCAGAGTGGCAGCCGCAGAGGCAGGCAGGCTGAGTGGCGGTTGCAGAGGCAGAGGCAGGCAGAGCAGCGGAGGCAGAGGCAGGCCGAGCGGTGGAGGCAGAGGCAGGCAGGCAGAGTGGCAGCCGCAGAGGCAGGCAGGTTGAGCAGCAGAGGCAGAGGCAGGCAGAGGCAGAGGCGCAGGCAGGCAGAGCGGCAGAGGCAGAGGCAGGCAGGTAGAACGCCAGAGGCAGGCAGGCACCAGAGGCAGGCAGGCAGGCAGAGTGGCGACGGCGGTGGCAGAGGCAGGCCGGCTGAGCAGAGGCGGCAGCAGTGGCAAGCAGAGCAGCAGAGGCAGGCTGAGCGGCGGCAGAGGCAGGCAGGCAGAGCTGTAGCGGCCAAGTCGTGGTTGTAATAAATAAAGACCAGAAACTAAGCTATTACCTGCTGAAGAGTTAGGGAAAACAAAGAGATTAAGAGCTTGGAACAGGGACGCCTTTAATCCCAGCACCCCAGGAGGTAGCCATCTCGTGGGACAAGACCAGAACAGACCCGAACACTCTGTCTGAGGCCAACCCAGGGCCCAGCTGCCGATCCTAGGAAACCCAACAACTTGGAGGTTGTTGGTGAGATTGCCCTACTGAACAACCTGCTCAGCTGAGATCCAAAAGGTGCTGCTCAGCCACCAAACGAGATCACCAGAATCATAAGCCTACACTACACCGACAGGGAACAGGTAAGCCCCCATCTCCACACCAGCAGATCAGGTCTCTAGCCCCTAGGCCCTACCCATCAGAGTCCCAGGGACTAGACAGCTACCTTTCCCTGTTCCCCCACCAAAAAAAAAAAAAAACACCAAAAACCAACCAAACAAATAACCCCTACGACAAACCTAACAACTATTGAAACCATAAGCACACCCTGCACCAACTGGGAACAACTGCTCCCAGAGACAGAACCCACTAACACTGATTGGACTAAGCTGCTCCCAAAGAAACAGAGCCCAACAGCACTGATTTGACCAAGAACTCCTAGTGGACCAAGACTAACAATTAGAACAAGAGAGGCACCTTCAGTCACAGACACTGCCTACACCGAGCACAGAAAGAGATGAGTAGACGCCAGTGCAAAAATATAGGCAACACCATAAAGACCTATATGACAATATCAGAACCTAGTGATTCTACACCTGCAAGACCTGAACATACCAAGACAGAAGAAACCAACTCTAAAAATGACTTTAAGAAGATGATAGAAACTCTTAGAGGAAATGAAAAACTCCAAAGAGGAAATAAAAGTTTTTTTTTTTCATTGCGTATCATAGTTTCAAAAGTTGTTTTCCCAGTGCTGGAGATGGGATGCAGGGCTTCACATGTACTAGGACAAGTACTCTACGGATGACCACTGTGCTACCCCAGCCATACATCTTCTCATTGTAAAAAGTGCTTTAATCTTGCCCAAGTTAATGCATACAGACCAATGACAGCTGTACAGCAAAGCCTTCTCTGACCATTAAACTAGCACCTTCATCCCCCACTTTTTCACAAGCTACATAGCAAAACCCTGTCTCAAAAAACAAACAAACAAACAAACAAACAAAAATTGTTAGAGCCCTGCCAGGGAACCAAATCAATGCATTTTTATTTTTTTGGTTTTTCAAGACCGGATTTGTTTGTGTAACAGTCCTGGATGTCCTAGAACTCACTTTGTAGACCAGACTGGTGTCGAAGTCACTGAGATCCACTTGCCTCTGCCTCCCAAGTGCTGGGAATAAATGCACGTACCACCACCCGCCTGGCTCGGTGCCCTTTTCAGCCATCATCAGAGAAACTTCCTCCTACAGTGGATGGGAACAGAGACCCACAGCCATACATCACACACACACACACACACACACACACACACACACACAGAGAGAGAGAGAGAGAGAGAGAGAGAGAGAGAGAGAGAGAGAGATCGGAACACACAGCTCTAAATGGGATGTCTCCATCAAATTCTTCCCCTCAGAGCTCAGGGAACCCCAAGAAAGAGTAGGTGGAAAGAGTGTAAAAGCCAGAGGGTATGAAGGACCCCAGGAGAACAAGGCCCTCCCTCTGAAACAACTGAGCGAAGTTCATATCAACTCCCGGAGACTGAAGCAGCATGCACAGGGCATATAACGGGTCAGCACCAGGTCCTCTGTGTATACACTGTAGCTTTCACTTTGGTATTGTAGGACTCCTGAGTGTGTGAATGAGTAGGTCTGATTCTTGTGCCTTCTCTTGGGGCTCTTTTCCTTCTGTTGGTTTGCCTTGCCCAACGTTGATGTGATGCTTTTTGTTTTATATCTTATTTTTAGGTTTTGTTATTATCTCTTAGAAGTCTGTTCTTTTCTAATGAGAGACACAAAGGGAGTTGATCCAGATGGGAAGGGAGGTAGGAAGGAACTGGGAGGAGTAGAGGGAGGGAAAACTAATCAGAATATATTGTTTGAGAAAACAATCTATTTTTAATAAAATGGGGATATTTTTCTAAAAATAAAAAAAAGAAAGAAGCCATTTTTCTTTAAAAATTTATTTTTAGGGCTGGAGAGATGGCTCAGGTTAAAAGCACTGCCTGCTCTTCCAGAGGACCTGTGTTCTGGCGCCCTCTTCTGGCTTGCAGGCACACATGCAGGTAGAACACTGTGTACATAACAAATAAATTTTAAACATTTCTTTTTAATTATGTGTAAGTCTGTGCATATGGGTGTACACATGAGTGTAGGTGCTCAAAGCTTCAGCTGGGTGCCAGGAATCAAACCTGGGTCCTTTTCAAGAGCAGCGCACACTCTTCACTGATTCTATCTATGCTTCCTAGGCAATGTTGTCTATCATCTAGGTTGCACAAATCCTAAGCCTTATACAAGCATATGTGAAAATCACATACTTGTAGCTGAAACTTAAGAGCCACTTCTCAGTGACTAAAAACTCCTAAGTCAGAAACACAGGTTCCACTCTCTATTTCCCATTATCTAGTCATTAAGACAGAAGTCTCATTTCATCCCTGCTATCAATGATTCAGTTATGGTTTATGTCTCAATCATCTACCATCTGGCACCATTCCTTTCTGTCCAAAATCATACTGCTACCAGAATGACTGTTCTAAAATAACCATCTGATCCTGAAGCTGGAAATCTTATCATCTACAGCTATGTTCTCTGTATCCCAACTCAAGTGGAACTACCTACAGTTGGAACATGTTGTTTAATGTCTCCAAGCATTCCCTCTGCCTACAGTGTTCTCCCACTCGTGGCCCTTACAGCTAATGGCTAAACCCTGTTCATCAACTGTTGTTTTTTCGTAAGTTAGGGTCTTGTAGCCCAGGATGACCTAACTCCAAAGCATTCTTTGCCTCAGCCTCCCAAGCGCTGGGATTACAGGTAAAACCACCATGCCTGCCTTCATGATCTAGCTTTTTAGTTTTCTCTGTGGAGTCTTCCTATACTTTCTTGGCAGAGTTCAGTCTTCTCATTATAAATATCTTTTTGTTGTTGTTATTTTTTTGTTTTTTGAGACAGGGTTTCTCAGTGTAATATTTCTGGCTGTCCTGGAACTCATTTTGTAGACCAGGCTGGCCTAGAACTCACAGAGAACCACCTGCCTCAAGGATCACTTTTAATACACTAGTATTTACAAGTCTCTCATTCTAGATCTTAAGATCCTTGCAGGGATGGAGAGATGGTTCAGAGGTTAAGAGCACTGGCTGCTCTTCCAGAGGTCCTGAGTTCAATTCCCAGCAACCACATGGTAGATCACAACCATCTGTAGTGAGATCTGGTGCCCTCTTCTGGTGTGCAAACATACATGCAGGCAGAACACTGTATACATAATAAATAAATCTTAAAAAAAAAAAAGATCCTTGCAATTGAAAACTACATGTTCTCTATTAGTTTTTCATTTTCTTTTTCTTTTTCAGGTCAAGGTTTCTCTGTGTAGCCCTGGCTGTCCTGGAACTTGCTCTGTAGACCAAGCTGGCCTGGAACTCAGACCCCTGCCTGGGATCAAAGGCATGTGCCACCACATCCAGCTATGTCTCATACACTTAGTAGAAATAAGTGGTATAATAAAGAAAAAGAGGCCATGAATTTGAGAGAGTGAGGGGGGGGGCCTATGGGAAGGGTTGGTGGGAGGAGGTGGAGAGAAATTATATAACTATATTTTAATAAAAGTAAAAATAAATTTAAGCCCAGCAGTGGTGGTACATGCCTTTGATTCTAGCACTAGGGAGGCAGAGGCAAGCCGACCTGAATTGGAGGCCAGCCTGGTCTACAAAGCGAGTTATAGGACAGCTAGAGCTGTTACATAGAGAAATCCTGTCTTGAACCTCCTTCCAATAAATGAATTTTAAAATGGGCAATATAAAATGAATACCATATATCTACCTAATCTCCCAAGTCAAAATTCTAGAAACCCTTTCCAGTCTTCCTTTTCCATCCCAAGTACCAATATGTTATGAAGTCCTGTTGATCACACCTCTCTCTGAAGAGGTTTCAATGTCACTCCTCTTTTCCCCATTCCAGTGCCACCACCACCCTACTTTAGGCTCCACTCCTCTTAGCCTGAACTACATTTTCTCTCCCCTCCAAACCACTCTCCACACTGCCAGTAAATTTAAAAAAATTTATTACAAAAACAATACACACTAAAAACTCAAACGATACAGAAATAAAAGCAGAATACTTATTCAGTATACATAAACCAAATGAACCACATCCTCTCTATTCCCATCCGCAGAGGTTCACTGTGAACAATTTAACAGTTTCACATCTTTCCCTTTGCACATACAAGTATATACAAACATAGCATATACACCTGTTTTTTTACTCTTACACAAATGGGATCATAACGTGTCTATTATTTGACTCAAATTCTGTCTTCATTCAATATCCAGAAAAATTTTGAAACGAATCTAATGCACTTCTCTAGACTTCATTTCCTTAAATAAAAAATTCACTCACTGGTATCAAATGCAAATCTCTCTCTCTTTCTCTCTTTTTTTTTTTTGTTTTTTTTTTTCAAGACAGGGTTTCTCTGTGTAGCTCTGGCTGTCCTGGAACTCACTTTGTAGACCAGGCTGGCTTCGAACTCACAGAGATCCACCTGCCTCTGCCTCCCAAGTGCTGGGATTAAAGGCGTGCGCCACCATCGCCCGGCTCAAATGCAAAGCTCTTGAAGATATGCTTCCTGTTGTCTTTCAGTGTCATGTCTAGTCATTCCAGCATCCTTTCTGAAACAAGGCAGGTACAAACACATTCTGTCATATCTAGACTTTCAACTTTTCCCTTCATGTTAACACCCTGCCTGGACTTTTTGAGCTGCTACACTCCTACCAATGACTTCTTCAACACTCAGTTTTCAGGTGGCCTCTGGAAGACTTCTCTGCTTTTTCACACATGATCTCTTCTCAATTTTTCTTTGTACTTTACAGCTAAGCTTCTTGATTGTATTTGTCTTACAGTTCTAATAATTTATAAACATGGTTTGAACTCTACTCTCCCTCCCCCGACTTGATGACAAGCTCTTATTTAACCTTTGCACTCCAAGGATCTGATAAAATGCTCAGCATGAAACAGATACACAGTAACATATCTGTTGGGATTTCATGATTTTAAGAACATTTACTGAGTACCTACTTTGCATAGAACCATATCCTAAGCATAAAAAGCAACAAAAGACAGTCTTGGCTATAAGAAACTTACCATTTTTCCTATAACTTTTCCTAGGGCGAGGGAGAGCACATTTACATGGCCACCTATTATTTTGGATACACAGCCTGTTTCAAAGATTTATAGCTATGTTCCTGTAATCTATTTAGGAACAAGGCATTGTATATCTACGTAAGTAACACATGAACAGTTTGTCCAATATGTTTATATCTTAAGCGTGGTACAGAGCCAGCCCATCAGTACCTAATTCTCTATTCCAGCAGACAGATTTTCATCTATTCCTGCTTGCAAATTATAAGTGAAATGGTGCTATGTTTCTACACGAAGAACAATAAATGCCATTAAAGGCATGTAATGGGGAAGAGTGAGTCTGCTCTCTCTTCTTGGTAGTGGTTAGGGAAAAGAACTTGCTACTCCAGGATCTGGAGAGATGATTACTATTTACTTATTACTAAACCTAGGGTAGTAATCTGGTGATATCATTATCTATACACATATAAATAAGCTGAGGGAAAGGTAATCGACCAGGCTGATTGAAGAGGCTTAAAGGAAGCCTCATTCATCAGAGTCCAAGTCACTGTCTCCAGCAATGGAGTGGAAATCCTCACTGTCCTCCTCGTCCTCAGAGAGGTGGACCTGGCTTAGTACGCTGGGCCCAGAGCGCTGCTCTTCCTCATCTTCTTCCTCCTCTGATACCTCATACCCACCGATGCTGCTGAAGCTTGTATCCTGGGTGTTCGACTTGGGGTCGGGTTCCTCATAGCTCCCATAACTGAGAAGAGAAACAACATCTCTCAAGCTTGGGAACCACCCACTAGCGGACCATTCCCATGCTTTGTACTGCCAAGGAATCAACTCATCTCAACCTCCCCTGGACACTAAATAATGGGTTCTTGACTGTTCCACCTCCCCTAAGAAAAAAATGATCCTGTTAAAAACATTAACTTGTTGATGTTATACATGTGAGAACCTGAAATAAACTTCCTGACACTGACCAACCAACACACACTACCAGCTAACAGGACCACAAATGCTGTCGAGCCCCACTGTTTCACCTGCTACTTAGTTTCATTCATCTTGTATCCAAAATTGGGCAGCAGTCCTGAATAATCTAACATATCTTGTCTCTATTATCTCCTTTCTATTCCTGCTCTGTCTGCTGTCGCTTAGTCCTGTGTTAACTTCCCTGGCCTGCACTACTAAAATAAGTCTTCATGGCCCTAGTATTGAGCTCCTTCAACTAATTCTTCACACTTCTACCACAGTGTTCTATTTTCTGTTTGTTTATTCTAATTTTAGTCTGAAAAAAAATCACAAATGCACATTTACTGTTTAAAAAAATTTAGAATGGCTCAAGAGATGGCTCAGAGGTTAAGAGCAGTGGCTGCTCTTCCAGAGGTCCTCAGTTCAATTCCCAGCAACCACATGGTGGCTCACAACCATCTGTAATGAGATCTGGTGCCCTCTTCTGGTGGGGAGGCAAAACATTCAAACAGAACACTGTATACATAATAAATAAATAAATAAATCTTTACAAATAAAATGGTACATACTTTTAATCCCAGCCCTTGGGAGGCAGAGGCAGGCAGATCTCTGAATTGAGATTAGCCTGGTCTACATAGTGAATTCCAGGACAGCCAGGGTTATAGAGAAACCTTGTCTTGGAATAAATAAATAAATAGCTAACTGATTAAAAATAAGATGCTCATCCCTCAGAAATTTGTTTTTCAAAGGTAATAATGAACATCCTTCTGTGTCAATAAATACAGCTCTACTGTTGTGGAATATTAGTTTAAGATGTGTTACATTCATTTATGCTGTGGAATATTTGTTTAATGATGCAAAGATGTGTTGCATTCTTTTATGTTGCATTTGTTTAACTCTGTAAAGCGGTGTTACTGTGCCTGTTTAAGACACTTGATGGTCTAATAAGGAGCTGAATGGTCAACAGCTAGGCAGGAGAGAGAAATGGGTGGGGCTGCCAGGCAGAAAAAATAAATAGAAGAGAGAAGAGCAAGGAGCGAAAAAAGGAGGAGAGGAGGACACCAGAGGCCACCCAGCCATAAAACCAACCACAGAGTAAGAACGAAAGAAAAATAAACAGAATAGAGAAAGGTAAAAAGCCCAGAGGCAAAATGTAGAAGAGAGATGGGATAATTTAAGAAAAGCTGGTTAGAAATAAGCCAAGCTAAGGCCAGGCATTCATAAGGAAGAATAAATCTCCGTATATTTATTTGGGAGCTGGGTGGTAGGCCCCCAAAGAGTAAAAACAAAAAAACAAAAAACAAACAAACAAAAAAACCCCAAAACCAACTACACTCTATAGCATAATTTTTTGGGTGGATTTTTGAGACTGAGTCTTACTATTCAGTTCTATCTAGCCTCAAATTTGTGATTCTCCTGTCTCAACCTTCTAAGCGTAGGGATTAGAGTGTGCCAGACTTAACAGCTGCATGGTATTCTGCTATATGGCTATAACATGATTTATTTAACAGTCTCTCAGTAGTAACATTTAGCTGTTCCCGATTTATTTCACCATTAGACACAATGGGCTGTAATAAAATCTTTGCACACCTTTTTTGTTTGTTTGAGACAGGATCTCACAATGTAGCCCTAGCTGTCCTGGAACTGGCTATGTAGACCAGGCTGCCCTAGAACCCATAGTGCTCTGCCTCCTAGAGTGTTGGGATCAAGGGTGTGCATCATCACATCTGGCTAAAAACACCTTAATAAAGTGTTCTCATAGGAAAATTTCCTAGATGTAGAATTTTAGAACCAAAGGGGGTATACATTTAAATATTTTTATTTAAAGTGATAAAATTGTCATAGTTCTCTCCCACTCACCCTATCTATTTACATATTACTGCCAGCCATTTGGGAATGTTTTTTTCTTCACACCCTTTCCAAAAAATCATCACCAATCTGATAGGTAAGAAGCTACATTACATTGTTTATCATACTTATTTGATTATTAGAGAAGCTATAAAATATAATTATTGGTCATTTGAATTTGTGAATTTCTTAGCTCACGTCTTTTATCCTTTGTTCTTTAGGGCATAGAGCAAGCTTTCTAAAACACAAAGCAGATCATACACTGTTCTCACTCAATGCCTGCCCACATTTGGGTCCTTCACAATTTGGTTCTTACCTATCTCTTTTAAAAAATAATTTTTATTTATTCTTAACTACCTCTTTGAATCATTTCTATTATATGGATCAATTAAAAGCTCTGGCCTACTTGTATTTAAAAATGTCTCATGACTCTGGGTTTTCACATTGCCATTCCAAGTCTCTGGGATATCTTATGCTTCTTACCCTATAAACTACTACTCATATTTGGCTCAGTTTCCTTCTCTAATCAGCTTCGCTCCCCATCCCTCTCCATGCCCCAGAAAAACCCTGTGGTTGCCTTTTATGTTACACTGCCATTGCCTGTTTACCTGTTTCATAATTCCTAATAGGCAGAACTCCTTAAAGGAGGGAATACCAAAACTTATTTTTGTTTTTATTTATAATCAATAAAATGTTTTATCTACTTGCTGGCAAGATGGATCACATGTGCAGTAAATCCAACATGTTTGAAGCCAAAATCATTTTCCCATCCTCTCTGTTTTTCTTTCCTCAATGAAAATTTCATTATTTATCAGACTCAACTCCCAAATTCAACTGAATACTGCTATTTTCTATCCCATGCTACCCTTAAATGTTACTTAACATATAAATTTGATGTTACTTTCTCTCCCTCCTTTTTTGTTTTTTGAGACAGTGTCTCATGTAACCCTGCCTAGCTTTGAACTCATCCTGTAGCTGAGGATTACCTTTAACCCCTGACCTTCCTACCTCTACCTTGAAAGTGTGCACAGGTCAGCATCACCACAAGGAGCTGTTTTGTTTGTTTTTAGACAGAGCCTCAATACATAGTCCAGGTTTAGGGGGTTTCTGTTGTTGTTTTTGGACACAGGGATTTACTGGCCTGGACCTCACTATATAGATCAGACTGGTCTTGAATTCAGAGATCCACCTGCCTCTTCTTAGGCATGCACCACCACACTTGGCTAGCCTTGAATTTAGGGTCTTCCTATCTCATACCCTAAGTATTGAGATTATAGAAGTGTGCCAGCATAGCTGACAACTTCCTTTTCCTGAAAGTATGTACTCCTAACAGAACAAAATCCAAATGCCTTAGGATTCTACTTATGATCCCCTACAATATAGGCTCTTGCTATTTCAAAACTCTTAATTTCTCAACCACCTCCATTTACTCTTGAACACATTTCGTGTTAGATTTCTATGCCTCTGACATATTATTTCATCTGTAAAGATCTATCCCCACTTGCTGCCACTGTATATGCTTAGCAGACTCCGATCCATCCTTTAAGGCATAGTTCAAATGCTTCTACGTGTAATTTACCCTGATTACTTAAAAGCACAATAAGACACCGTTTTAGGGATACCTCAGCACTCTGCACTTATTTGTGCTTAAGTACTTATAACATTGTATCAGATGATTCCACTAGACGAGCTCCTCAAGGGCAGGCTATGTCTTATTCATCTATGTATTCCCAGGGTCTAGACAATGCTTGGCCCAAGTATAGGTGCTCAGGGAAGACAGATGGAAGCTATCTGATGCTAGGCCCTTTGTCAGCATAGGTGGGAAATGATGCCAGAGCCCAGCAGCATCTTACTGCCCATTACCTGATGTTGCTATCCTCCAAACCACGGGAAGCCTCCCCACCATCTCCCTCATAGGACATCATGCTTTCTTCATTTTCCATGCCCATCCTCGTATTCTCTTGAAGCACACGAGGATGTTTAGGTCTTATACTGCCAGATCCCACATCAGAGTCACTTCCACTTTCACTTAGCTGAATAGCTGTAAAAAGACAGATTGTGGTTCATTAACAGACAAGCTTGATGGACTAGTGGTATGGCTCAGTGCTAGAGTGTTTGCTTGCATGTATGAGATAGACTTTGTGCCTATAGTCCTCACCTCTCAGGCCTCTCTTGAACTACCAAATGTCAATAGTAGCAAGATCTATAGTTTAGAAACTGAATCCAAGTAACTTATTTCTTCTATCTCAGTCTAATCTACCCATTTTCTATCATCTCCAATACCTTTACCTTACCATTGCAATTATTTTTCTTAATTTTCCTTTCCTGTTCCCAAACACAACCCCTCAAAGCTGCTACTTGGGCACTGCCTTTTCCACTGTTCCTTTTATGTCTCCTGTGTCTGCTCATCTTCACTTCCCCTCAGGCTAATGGACATGATCATCCTGAGTGTGTGTTCAGTACTCTCAGGTCTACTAATGGGACTTCAATAAAAAGAGAGGCTTTTTTATACTAGCACATAGCAAGTAGCAAAGTGGTTTCTACTCAGTCCTGAGGGCGCAACAGTGAGCTACACAGAAACAGAAGCGAAAGAGTAAGACTCACCAGAAAAAGGGTTATCTCCTTCTTCATCACTCCCAGCATCTTCCTCATCATCTTCCCCTTCAGACATAAGCAAGTCCTCATACAGGACACTGGCTTGAGTCTGTTGTACAGTTCCTTCCTCTTCATCTGCAAGATCACCATCTCCATCTTCACCTTCCTAAAAAGTCCACGTGGCAGCCCCATTAGTGACCAAGAGACCAGAATGCCTTCCTTCCCCTGCATCCCATTTGCTGCCTCACAAGAAGTTAAGTGACTGTAGTGGATGGATTTGTCCAACTCACTCTAAGGATTCAAGTCAGACTGAGGCTCGCTTCGGAGAAAATCTATGATTCTCATCTTGGGATTTGGCCGGACCTATACTACTGGGGTTCCTGTCATATAAGTGTATAATGTAACCATAAGCTTTCTGTAAGCATACTCACTGGGGCTGGAGTCTTAGGTTCCCCCCTCCTCCCCCGCTTCAATATCTACAGAGTCTTCCTCACCCAGCCTACCTTGGCCCTGGCAAACCTGAGTAAGGAGCACAAATGGCACATCATTGAGGGATGTGCCCCTAGGAGTTAACCAAGGGTTCTTTACCTAGGCCAGATGCTTTCCTGATGTCCCAGCCAACAGCACTGCTGGGGGAGGCTGTTGACACAGCTCAAGGCATGTGCACTTCCTCCCAGTCATTCTTTGGAAATAATAGACAGGGCAAGAAAAACCAAAGAACAGGAAAGTTTTTGGTCCACTCCTGTCATCAGAAGGGAATGCTTCCTTTCTAAGGCAAGCTTTTGAGATAGAAAATCCTTCTGGGTTTTTGAGAATAGGTATAGCTTCAGATGAAAAGTATGTTTTGATACCTCTGGTAAAAGCCAGTTTAAAAAATTATACATAATTTTAATTTGGTTTATAACTTTTTTTTTTTTTTTTTTTTTTGGTTTTTCGAGACAGGGTTT